ATGCGCGCGTCCTAATCCCCCCCCCCCCCCCCCCCCACAATATCTTGCTACGGTCTGCTCCTCTTGCTCTACCAGGTCACACCTCATCTACAACTAATCAAACTGCTCTATGAACTCTACCGATAGATCCTTCTGCTGCAATTGGTGGAGTCTCAAAAACATATCCCGGCGGTAATGGGGTGGGAGGTATTTCCTCTACATCACATTTTTCATCTTCTCTCACCTTTTAATCTTATTGCCGCTTTTCTTTTTCCTCTGCCTCTGTAAGTTCTCCCACCACAGAGAAGCACTCTTCTTTAGCTTGATGGTCGCTAAATCCTTCTGCCACAACTGGTGGAGTCTCAAAAACATATCCTGACAGTAATGGGGTGGAAAGTATTTCTTCTACGATGTCTTTTTCATCTTTTCCCATTTGGTAATCTTATCGTTGTCTTTCTTTTTCTTCTGTCTCTATAAGTTCTCCCACCACAGAGAAGCACTCTTCTTCAGCTTGATGGTCATTAATTTGACCTGTTTATCCTCTGACACATCCTTATAATTGAAGATGAGCTCAATAGCCTGTAACCAATGGATGAAATCCTCAAGATACATACCTTCTTCAAACTCTGCTAGATCTACCTTGATGTCGAAGTCTCTCTGCCCTCCAAATAATATCTTCTTTGTGTAAGTCTCTCTCTGAGAGGGATTCAAATATCCCTCCTATCTTCTTCGTCGTTGGAATTATCCCTATGGAAGGGATTCAGATTCTCATTTATTTCTCCCCTTCAACTATCCAGATCTTGGTCGAAGGTAATTTCTTTCTGTGTTAATTCTTCAATCTCTGCAAGCCTTAGTTGAAGGCGACGAAGCTCCCGTCATCTCTCTTCTCGGGTAGGCTCGAGCATGTATCTCCAAGGTAGTATGGCTAGGAATAGAAAGGAAATTTTTGGTTGAGTTAGGATTTGGGGGAAATCAGAAGGGGTGTTTAAGGGTAGGAATGAAAAATTTTGGTGGAAAGGTAAGGTGGATGCTAGGAAGCCCTAGGATGGGACTAGGATTGGGCTAGCACTGATACCAAATGATAGCGGAACCAAGTAGGGAAAATAGCGGAAACGCACAAAATAAATTTTTATTAATGTAGAAAGTGATTTACAACACAACACAACGGAAAATAGCAACACAAAACATAAAAAAACACAAGAAAACACCTCTAAGGTGTATCTAAGGACGGTGGAGGTTGGCTAGGTGAATTGGGATAGTTGTTATGGGTGGTGGCAGCAAAGAAATGTTGAGGGAAGCAAGGGAGTTTTCAGAAATGCAGGGACAACAAGTATGGTTCATAGGTGACCGGTGACACGTGGAGGTGTGGCTGGAAGGTACTGGACAGCAAGGGCAGTGGTAGTGGGGAGTGGTGGTTGGAAGTGTGTGGAGAGAGTGAAGATGGTTGGACAGCAAGATAAGGCTGCAGGTATGCGGCGGCTGGGTGCAGGAATGAAGGAGGGGAAGGTCGATGGCTAGGAGAGGGGAGGAGGAAGATTGGGGAAGGTGAAAGGGAAAGGATATAACATCACCTCAGAGTAGGTTACAGTCGGGGCACCTCTACCACCTCGAATTTAGTCTTAGAATAGGGAGAACAACTCCACAAAGAAATCTGAAATTAACACACAATAAAAACTAAACCCTAAACTCTGAAATAACAATATATATCCTCGCAGGAAAGTGAAGCATGAAAAAAGCAAGGGGAGGGGTGCGGGAGGCTATTCTCCCCGTCAAGAGTCACCCGGACCGCTCGACCCGGGATTCCTCTGGACCTATTTTCAACAGACCGGTCTGCTGTCAGCCCAGTTCAGCCGGCTGGCTAGAATAACGGGCAGTCTAGCGCCTGTCTAGTAAGCCTCAAACTAAACCCACACTCAGGCCAACTTCTATGCTTATGAGCCCGCTAATCAACTAAAGTTTAACTTATGTGCAAGACACGTACCAATCATTTTGGTTCAACTCCATAATACTCATTAATGAAAACACGGGTCATCCATTAGATGTAAGCCTCCCACTAAACCAATACTCGGGCCAACTCCAATGCTTATGAGCCCACTAATCAGCTAAAAGTAAAATTTAAATGTAAGGCACATACCAAGTAATTCAATTCAACGCAAAAGCCATTGTACTCATTTATCAAAACCAGGGCCATCCACTGGCTGTATGCCTCAAACTAAACCCATACCTGGGCAACTTCTACACTTTTGAGCCCACTAATCAACTAAAATCTGAACTTATATGTCCACCCTGGTCTGCTCAGGATACCTTAGAGTAGGCACTCTATTATTATTGCTAGCTTTGGTAGACTAGTACAACTAGTATTTTCAGGATGATGAAATCTTGAGATCTTAATCGAGTTTACCTCCTTTCCCTTGATTAATCTCCATCAATTTTATTAAAACACAATCATTAAAATTGAGTCTAAAAAATCATCCTTAATTGAGAATGTTCTCCTATTAGCGAAAAGGATAGTTAATTGTGAGGGTTTGCATCCATAGGAATGAATCCAAATAAATCATGTTCTGAATATCAGGGAAAATCTTATTAAACTTAAGCCTAATCTATTTCATGTAAAATGAATTATTGATTTTGAAGATGGGATTGATTTTTTCTCGAATTATCATAGGGCGCATCTTATAGATTTTTCTGTGATGTTGCTGCACCCCCATTTGTTTTATTAATTAGACTAGATATCTTATTTCATTTACTGAGTTGCATTAGCCTATTTTGCGACACCAAAATAATCCAACCTTGCAAAATGTCATCTTACATGCTATTAAGCATGCCATTTTTGTTTATACATTGTTCTATCTATTTTTGTGCAGTACCTCGACAGGGATGTACAAAATTTATAGACCTGCTATTGGCGAAGTATTAAGGTACTATATAAAGTTGGTGTTAGTTTAAATTTACTGGTTACTTCAATATTCAGTGGATCTTAAATCAATTATGTTTGTGCTGTTCCCACTAGGGAAATGCCTCTAGCTGAGCTAAAAAGCAAGTATAGAAAGGTTTCTTCAATCGAAAAGGCCAATAAAGGTTGGGTAGAAGAATATGGAGTCTCATCTCAACAGGTAAGTGGCTTGAAGATTTATAGAATGCCATGCTGTAAAATCTTACTTTACTTTACTTTGACTTATGCTATCCTTCTGCATTTTTTATCTCAACTATTAAAGATATGTGCCCATTTAAATACAAGATGTGAGTCTGTCCATTCGATCAAGGTGCATGAGCATTGTCATTTTTTTAACTCAAATTCACTATATTCTTTGACAAATGTAGCTTGGATGCTTACTAATGTAAATGCATTAGTATTATGTTCGTAGTTACTAGCATATTATTGAGCACACATTCTGAAATATATATGAAGAAAACAAGTTCATACGAATATTTATCCTGAATGCTTAGCCGCCAGATGCTCAGTTTTCTTCAGAGAAATGCTAAAATGATTTGTATTGGTTGTATTTTAAAAGTAAAGACATGATCAGGAATGATATAGGCCCACCAACCTTAAAATAGCAATTCCGTCCTTATTTGATTAGGAGTGGTTGTAAGGATTGAATCCTGATTGAAAATTTATAATTAAGGATATATTCTCTTTTAATTTTATTGAAAATTTATAAATAAGTGTATATTATCTTTTCATTGTCGGTAGCTATAAATATGGAATATCCTGATTTGATTAAGACTTTTTTCCCATTTTAAAAATACTCGAATGTATTATTACAAAAACTATCTTTTTTTCTTCACAAGGTATCAGAGCATTTTCATACCAAGATTCAAAATTTAATCTCCATCCACTGAATCTAAGATATACTTTTACTCCTAGTTTCTCTCTCTGCCCCTCTTCACTGATTTTAGAGGAATTAACCCTTTGATTTTTTCTTCCTAATCTGGATTTTCATCCTTCATTATCTATTTTTCCTATAACCTCCATTACTAGTCTAGATCCAAACTTTCTCTTTATCAAAGCCACTACTTTTTTTCAACCCAGATTCAAAGAGTTATCGCTCTTCTACTCTTAAGAGTTACTTAGATAAATATTTCCTGTACTCTATTGATTTAGAAAACTGAGATTTTTATTGGTAACAATAGAAGCCTCGAAATACCCTAATTCTCAAATCATTGCTCATGCATGCATACCCTAATTCTGCTGCACTATTTGTTTAGAGTGTGTATAAATTGCTTTCTATTATTAAAATATGAAATGATTTGCAAAATGAAAAGTATAAAATTTGCACTATTTGTTTAGAGTGTGTATAAATTGCTTTCTATTATTAAAATATGAAATGATTTGCAAAATGAAACATGATGTTCGTATGTATTAATGATAATATAATGAATATAATTATATAGTTTTTATCTTATATACTTATTGTAAAAATATTTAAGATACTCTACGCTAGAGAAGTAGGCCTATTCAAATTACTTAGAAATTTTGAGCTAATGCATTTATTATTGATTTCACTGCTAACATGAACATTTGTCTCACTTTTAAAATTGAATATTTAAAATCGTATATAGGTGCTTTTGAGCCTTAAAGCTTCTTAGATAGTATCTCTCTGTGATTATTAGTTTTAGTTCTGACATTGTCTCCCAACCAACCCACTCTTAGATGTATGATTGGAATTTTATCGAATGATATTTTATACTAGGTGTTTCTGCGAGTAGCATTGTTTTGTTCTATAGAGAGCTCAACCATCATCAAATGACTTTTAGGTGACGCATGATACGCTATCATGCATCTCTCCCATTCTCTAGCATACTCATCAAAGAAGAGTTATTCTTACATCTTGGTTGAGAACAATTGTGTAATTTAGATTTATGTTTGACATCAAAGATACGACTGATTAGATATTTATCATTTTATCTAAAGATTTGTATTCAAATAATATTTAAATTTATTTCCTATTAATTCAAAACAGTTTGCTTAATTTAAAACGGTTTGCTTCCTATCTATTAATTTTATTTGTTTGTAACGTTGTAACACTTAGATTACTTTCATTATGAGCAGGATCCTTGGCATTTGGCAAATGTATAATTATGCCTTGACATGGACATCGTTCGTCTGAGAGGGACACAATATACAAGAACTAGGTTGTTCAATTTTGTCCCAAGGTCGGTTCAAGAATTATAGCTCCCAAAGTTGGTCAGCTCCCTTGGGATATTATTATCTTAATTAAAATTAGTATTAAGGTTATTTTTTCTTTGGAATTGTAAAATTATTATTTTAGAATTTGTTTTGGACTTGTGAGAATTTATGCTTTTGGAGATTGTTTTCTTTGATTTTCTAATTATTTGAGTGTTGTAGCCTCTTCCTCCTTCAAGTTATGCGCATGTAGCTTGATTTGGAATTGGTGAGAGATCCCGCTCAACATCCGTAACCCTCCTACTTTGCATCATCTACATTTCACCATCTAGAAATCTTATATCGTTATTATTTAGTATCATAGTCATCTAGACCCTAATTTTATTCTGGAATTACAAACCCTAACCTATATAACCTAATTTATCTACCTACACAAATACCCAACCTCCTCTCACATTCAGCTAACCCTAAATTCCCACTTTTATTATACTTGGAGGAGATCCACTTTGCGGCCAAAGAGAAATTCTCAAGAGGTATCCAAGAGCTTATCATGATATGTAATGAGAAATACTTTAACTACAGCGTAGGTTAGCTGATTTTAAAATAGTCAACATAGGGAACTCACACATAATAACAACAATGATCAATTTGATGGAAAAGATGAAAATAGCTTCCACCAAGAGGTCTCAGGTGACGAAAAGCCTATCCCTCACACATTGGCATTGAGTGCAGAGGAAAGGAGTGACTTTGAAATAAAGATTAGTTTATCGGATTTTGATGGTCGTATGGATCTGAATGAATTTATGGAGTGACTCCAATTTGTGGAACAAATATTTGAGTCCAAAGTCATTTCATGGGACATAATATTTAAATTGGTATTATCAAACTCAATAACAATACTTTCTTATGGAGGCAAAATTAGAAGCATCTACATCATCTTGAAGTAAATAACAAAATCATGACCTGATCTATGATGAAGTCGATGCATCGCAAATATCTCCCAGCACATGAAAGATAGAATGTCGTTTTGAGGATTATCATTTACGTTTAAGGGCTTATCTGCTGAGAAGACATCGTTCAGCTTGAGCAACTCATATTGAAATATGAGTTGGTGAAGTCAGAGAGTAATACCATATGATGATACCTTGAATATTGGATACCTTTTATTGGCAATGTGTAGTTACAGTCCTATTGTACCGTGCAGGATGTACAAATTTTATCCTTAAATGTTGAAAAGCAGCATAGTAGCAAAAGATCCGCTTCATCCTTCAAATAGGATGTGATCATCATGTCAGGCTGCAAAAGTATGTGAACTAGAGTGCTATAATATGCCTATGAGGATAAGTCGGCATAAGGAGCAATGACTAATTAGATTAGTAACCCCAAGAAAGTGTCTTAAGTGTCTACATCCAGCTGACCAAAAAGGAGTAATTTCTTTCTTTGAGCATGGCATAGTGGAAGTAATAGATAATGGAGAACTTTAAGATGAGAACTAGCTTCCTGCAGATTGTGAGATGTTTGTTGTTCGACAAGTTCTTCAAATTGAGCCTAAAATAAAGAAGCGATGACTTAGGCATAACATCTTGTTTTCCCACTGTGCTATTAAGGGGAATGTGTGCAGCCTCATTATAAATAGAGACAGTAATAAGAATGTGGTGTCTACTTATATGATAGAAAAGTTGAGCTTCAATATCTAGAAGCACTCCTAAGTCTATTTGTTGACTTAGTTGAAAAAAGAATGAGATCATTAGTGTTAAGACGTGCCTGGTGGAGTTTTCTATTTGAGATGAGCTATAGGAGCAAATGTGATGTGACATTTAGTAACCCCAAAAAAGTGTCTTAAGTGTCTGCATCCAGCTGCCCAAAAAGGAGTAATTTCTTTCTCTGAGCATGGCATAGTGGAAGTAATAGATAATGGAGAACTTTAAAATGAGAAGAATAAATATGAGAACTAGATTCCTGCAGATTGTGAGATGTTTGTTGTTCGACAAGTTCTTCAAATTGAGCCTAAAATAAAGAAGCAATGACTTAGGCATAACATCTTGTTTGCCCATTGTGCTATTAAGGGGAATGTGTGTAGCCTCATTATAAATAGAGGCAGTAATAAGAATGTGGTGTCTACTTATATGATAGAAAAGTTGAGTATCAATATCTAGAAGCACTCGATAGAAAAGTTGAGCTTCAATATCTAGAAGCACTCCTAATTCTATTTGATGACTTAGTTGAAAAAAGAATGAGATCATTAGTGTTAAGAGGTGTCTGGTGGAGTTTTTTTTATTTGAGATGAGCTATAGGAGCAAATGTGATGTGACATCATATATGTGAATGCATGTCACATTCAATTAGGTCAATCGTAACAATATGATGGAGGTACACTTCATGTGATCATAAAAATACCTACTCATTACCTAGGATGGAAAAAAGCATATCATTCTTTTGTTTTTGAAGGAATCAATAGTGATGATTGCACGGGCCTAGATGGGAGTTTTAGTGCCTCACACTATATTTTGTAAGGACCAGTGAGACTGGCATTGGTGACATTAGAGGAAAGCAATATGGAAAACAACCTTTGTAAGAAGAGTTTTAGGATGTTCCGATGACAGACTATGATATGGACTATCAACTTACGAGATATTGTGCATTCCATAGATGTCATCTCAGGATTGATGCTCCTCAACCAAACAACTTATAGGATGTTACCAGTGTAGTTAGTGTATGATACCAGCTTTAATTGCACCTAAGAAGAATGGATCATGGCATATGTGCATTGATAGTTGAACTATGAACGAAATCACCGTCAATTACAAGTTCCCATCCTCCAACTAGATGATTTTTTAGATTTTTTGCACGGAGCCATCATCATTTTCAAGATTGCTTTATACAGTGGTTATCATAAGATTTAGACGAGACATAGGGATGAGTAAAGGTTGCCTTCCAAATGTGGAATGAACTGTATGTGTGAACAATCATTCCTTTTGGCCCATC